TAACTTTTCCCACCTCTACCCGGTTTTCCGAGGTAGGTGGGTAATATCGGAAACGGTGTTGTCGTTGCCCGGGTTGTGGCTGGGTAGAAAGCGGGCGCGGCTCAGCGATAGTGGTGTACTTATTGTACCCGCACTACAGCGGGACCGCGTCAAGTTTAACTCTTCGACTTCTGATTCGAATTTTTTTTATGTTTTCTTTAGTGTCATTACAGCTACATGGATTTAAAGATGACAAAATTGTTGTGATTTAAAAAACCCTCACCCGTCATCAACTAGATTTCGTCGGCCAATCAAGTTTACATACAAAAAAGAAACTATAGAAAATACGAAACAAGAAGTAGGGGATATTGAAGACCAATTAAACAATGTTATAATCACTGATATAATACTTGAAGACAGAAATATTTAAATAGAGCATAATTTATTATTTAGTATGATTGATGGAAAGGTAAAATAAAATAATTGTAGATTTTTAATATTAAAAATACTTTGTTATCGTCTTCACTTAAGGTGTGCAATTCATTAACAAACACATTCAGCCAATTTTGCTACATATGTGGCTGTACACCCAATCAGTTAAATGACATAGATGAAATATGCAATATAGGGAAAAATTTAAATCCAATCAACTACAAATTCGGATTATCAACTCTACGCTTGTCTTAGATTCTTTGAGTGCTTATTACATGTGTCATATCGTTTGCTATTCAAGTAATGGCAAGCAAGTTATTTTCATTGAATATTTTATTTTGAGTTTTAAATTTTATAAAATAATAAATAAATAATATTCATTCATTTTTTTTCTTTTTTGTAGATACGATTACTCGAAAACAAAGAAATTTATGCAATGCGTAAAATTAAAATTCAAAAAGGATTTCATTCTGAAATAAGTATATCAGTAGATGTGGTGTTACAAGGTAATTAATATTAAAATAAAATTTTATATAACATAAAAATCGTTGTTTTATATTATTAAGGGCATGGTACCACCAATGACGGTAACACAAGTCGTAGATGTTTCAAAGATGCCGAAAAGTCTTTTGAAATAACTGGAGTGGACCTAAATCTAATAAAACAATTTAATAATATTTTAAAAGAAATAGCAAGTGGACATAATATTAATGAAGTTGCATTTGAAAAATATGGAATTGAAACTGCTAAATATTTTGATGCACTTTATCCGTAGTTCTACATGCCTTCAAGCGTCCATAAAATATTGATATATAGAGCTCAAGCCATACGTCACGCAATACTGCCAATAGGTAATTATATACATTTATTGGATGCTAATTAATTTAATTGTTTTAATACATAATATAAACTTTTTTCCAGACCAATTATCAGAATAAGCTCAAGAGGGTAGGAATAAAGACTACAAATATTACAACGAACACTGCACTAGGAAGAATTCACGGCTAAATACAAATGAGGACCTTAAGTATCATCTTCTTGTGTCTTCTGACCCCTATATATCAAGTTTTAAAAGTTTATCGAAAAATGGCATACAAGAATTTTCAAATGAACTGAAATCATTATTATTGTTTTCGATTTAATAAAAAGAATATTCAATGAAAATATATAATTTGATTTTAAGTATTAATATATAAATTATATTTTCCTTCAAATAACTCTATAGGCTTTTAAAACATAGATTTATGTATAATTAAAAATTGTGAAATTCAAAAATGTGCTCCCTCTCCACTAACCCCTAAATTAAGGGGAAAATTACAAAACTGATGCAGAATTTGGGTTTAGCAGCTTTTAAAGCATATAATTTTAGAATTTACAGGATGCATTAAGTACAAATTTATGAGTTATTAATTTATGGAAGCTAAATTACATTTCAGTCCACTGTGCGGCGGCGCGATTACGGCGGCAACGGTGTGTTTATTTCGGTAAAGATACGTTCGATATGCCACGGCTTACGCGGCGGGCCAGTGGGTCGCGATGTATTCGGGGACGTAATCAAACTTACTAATATTACTACGTATGCCATGACCGGTTTTTCGCGCTCGCGTGCTGCATCGACCATCGCCGACTGCGAGTAGTGGGGATGGTTTAAACGTCATGTGCTTGCGAATCACGAAAACACTTAACAGCGCGTTCTCTCGGCCGTTGTGTATGTTTCGCCTTACGTGTAGCGTCCTCATATAGATCGACTGTCGTGTGATAAGCACAAAAGAATTGCGTTTCAGACCAAGATAATGGACATACCATTTCTCATTTCTTCGTGTCATCACCAAGTAGAGCTCTAGGCAACATTAGTAATAATAGTAATAACAATAATAAAAACAGTGAACTGTTCAATTCGTTAAATTTGTTTTTTGTCGTCTTCTACTACGTTATTTTGCCTCAAAATTTGGTAAGTTATGTTACTTGTATTAGATGGCATGTGTTACGCTGTGCCCTAACTGAAACTGTGCGTTGTGTGTAGTGATGGGAACAATCGAGAGAAAATACTCGAAATACTCGATTTTTCTCGATTATTTTGGAAATCATCGAGTGATTTTCTCGGTATCGAAATCAGTTGAAATAATCGAGTGAAAAATGCTCGATTACTCCTACACTCATTTAGTTCCTAGTGATTCTCTCGGTAACAAAATTCGATATCAGTTGAAGTGATCGAGTGAAAAGTGCTGGTTAGGTTAGATAAGGTCTAAGATAAGATAACATTTAACTAGTAGGTAGTCTGTACTCGATTACTTTTTTTTCGTACCCTTCGCTCATCATACCCGAAATATTTATAATCGAATTATGATAAAAATAAAAATGATAAATTGTAAAACATATTTGTCTTTTTTTCTGTATCTTCGTTTCCTTTCGAAACATTCAAAACACGTTTATGAGCGAATAAAATGGTATTAATTTATTATTGTCATACCAGCAAGAATAATTAGACTTGCATATTCCAACTCCCAACACTCAGTTTTGATCATTTAAAATTATAATACATAACATATTTTAAAGTTAAAAATTTGATTATTTTATCGTTGAATCCAACAATTCAAATTCTTAATCACTGCTTGTAAAGATGCATTCATTAAATTAAATATTACAAATGTAGTAATTTAAAATTGACAAATTTTAATGCTATGATATTGTGATATTATATTTGATTTTAGTTTTTATCCATTTTTAGTCATAATTTGAATCGTTCTGTTGCACATCTTATCTGAATACGAGTATTCCAAAATCAAATAGTTTACATCTACAGAATAAATTAAATATTAAGAAAAATGGTGATGCTGCAGAGGTTTTCCGAATTTGTATATTTAATTTCATCGTGTAGAACATATAAATACTCAATAAACCATCGAAATAATTCGTATTTATAATCTTTTATTTTAAAACGATTTTCACTTCTTTTCTTACGTTGTTCTAAATGAGATTTTCACACACTCGTTGCCGGACACTTGCATATACAGCAATACTATATACTTATATATACTAATCTATGATATACAGCCTACCTAGTTTTTATTTTTATTACGTTTGATATTCCTAGTAATGTACAATATAATATATATCATTTTTACTGTATATCGCATTAGTCATTATACCAATAGCTGTAAATATTAATAAAAATTATTTTAAAATGTATATCTTTACTTATTAATTTAAAATATTATAAAAAGTGGTCTGCATTTTACCCTTTTTCTGTGCAGGTTTCGATCTTGAAATTGATTTTTAATTTATACTATAAAGTTTATAGTATTATTATAGTTTCAATTTCTTGTTTTATTTAAAAATAATGCGACCAAATAAACAACGATCTATAGTGTGGGAACATTAAAAAAAATGCTTATAAAACTGTATTATGCCAATTATGTAAAAAGGATTTTAAGTATTATGAAAATACAACCAATCGAAAAGTTAAACCAAAAATAAAAAAATATATTCCATGGTTCGGGTTTTGAAAAATAGTTCTATATTATAAATTAGGGTTACCATACATCGCGGTAAACCGGGGTGGTCGCCGTTTTTGGACTTCGCGTCCCGGTGTCCCGAAAAATGTTTTCAGGACGTCCATATGTTCCGGCTTAGACGTTTAGAGGAAATGTAGTATTGTTTAATTTTTAATTTCAACCGTTTTATCTCAAAATATATTTTTAATCGTAATCGATTAATAATATATAATAATTTACACATATAATATATAATATATTTTATTTTACAATTTTTTTTTAAATATTATATTGCCGGCCATTAATGGTCCTCTTCAGTGACGTATACATAACTTTTGTATGAGGGGGATCATTTGCAAACAAATCATTATTTTTATTTTTTTTTTTTACGTTTTTAACACCCTCACACCCTCACATTAGGATTATTATTTTATAACATTTAAAAAAAGGCCTAGGAGTATCTGACCTCCACATCCCTCCTCTTTTATACGTCATTGGGCCTCTCAATATATTAAAAGTTATATAATAAGTAGGACACGGATGTTGTTGCATTTGCAACTTTTTTTTCTACCTTTCTAATTTATTGCTAAGTAAGTTTTAAATACGTTTCATGTAAGTACGAATTCAAATCTAAAAGTTTTAAGTGCAATTTTTTGGAATTTTTGGAATTTTTTCAATTTTAGTGTAATTTTGTTGAATTTACTCATTTATAGCACAATTTTAGCTATAGTCGAAACTCGACAATCGTATAGATAAGATTATACTTTAATATCTCTAGCTATAAAATTAAATTAGTAGTATAGTATGTAGCAATAATGGTATCTTATCTTAAGTTCGATAATATCAAGTCGGTTGGTATTCAATACAACACAAAAATAATTTGTGAAATATGACTGTTTGAGTTAGAGAGTTATAATCCGTTCTTCAGTCACACCATGAATCTTGAGTTATCATGTTTTGTTATTGTTCTGTAAATATGCCGAAAATTAAGCCAACAATTTCCACTGTTTTAAAAAAATACGTATTAGAATTTGGTGAGAATGTGTTTTCATGTGATGGATCCGTACTTTTCTGTAAATTGTGTGAAACAAAAGTAAATGCTGAACGGAGGTATACAGTTACACAACATATTGAAACTGCAAAGCATCAACGGGCGGTTAATCGATAAAATACCTCCAAAACGTCTATATCGCAACTTCAGGTAACTACATTTATAAAAAAATCGTCATTTTCTAAAGACTTGTGTAAGGCCATGTTATCCGCAAATATTCCGTTGCATAAAATCAATAACCCAGAATTTCGTTTATTTTTGGAAACATATACGAATAGAAACATTTCGAATGAATCTACGTTACGCAAAAATTACGTAAATTAAATGTACTCCGATATTTTAAATAAAATAAGAAACAATATAAAGGGTAATCAAATTTTGGTCTCAATTGATGAGACCAGAGATGTTAATGGAACATATGTGGCTAACGTTGTGATTGGAACACTTCAAACCGACCAACCAGGAAAAGTGTATTTGTTAAATATAGAAATTCTCGATAAAGTAAATTATTCGATAAATCAATGTTTATTCTTTGGCCCGACGGCATCCGTCATGATAACGTTTTTCTGTTTATTAGTGACGCAGCTTCATATATGATAAAATCAGAGACTATAATTAAAGCACTGTATTCAAAAATGATTCATGTCACCTGCTTGGCCCATGGTATATATCGGGTTGCAGAAGACATACGAGGAAAATTTCCAGAAATAGATAAACTCATTGCTAAAATCAAACAAATATTTTTAAAAGCACCAAACTGAACTATTCTTTTTAAAAATAAAGTACCAGGCACACCATTACCTCCACAACCTATTATCACACGCTGGGGCACATGGCTCGAGGCTGCATAATACTATTGTAAATATTTTAATGAGGTAAAAAGTGTCGTACAAGAACTTGATACTGATGAAGCTATTTCAATAAAAGTTTCACAAAATATTTTTACTCAGATTTCCATTTCAGCCAATTTAGTATTTATTCACTCGAACTATGGATTTTTACGGAAGCAATTTTAAAATTAAAAGATCAAGGACTTCCGATAGTTGAAGCTATTGAAATAATTAAAAATGTTCAAAATAAATTAGACAATATATTTTGTGAAATCGGAATTTCAGTCCATGAAAAATTCAAGAAACATATTGAAAAGAATAAGGGATTTGAAACCGTTATTAAAATAAATGATATACTCACTGGACAAGGAAAATTTTTTGATGGTTTACCTGAAGACTTGACAGTAAACGATTTACCTTTTTTTAAATACGCTCCGCTTACATCAACCGACGTAGAACGAAGTTTTCCGAGGTATAAGAACTTATTGGCTCCAAATAGAAGACCGTTCAAATTCGAAAATTTAAAACAAACAATTATAATCCAATGCAATGAAGTTTAAAATTTAAAATATTTAACATATTTAGTATACTCATGGATTATTAATTATTATTATAAAATGTAAAACTTATTTTTTTTTTTTGGTAGAATTAAAATAAAACATCTATAAATTATTACGAAATGTTGTTATTTTTTAGTGCAATTCTGCAAATAAATTTTACTAGTTTATTACTACTACAACACCCGTGCCCTAATAATAAGTATATTACTCAATATTGTGTTTCTGTTCTCCCGGTTTTGCTTTATAAATTTATGGCAACCCTATTTTAAATTGTAGTTTTAGAAAAATTAAGACTACATCGAAAATTGTATTTAGTGGGTTTTAAATTTTTATATTATTTAATAAATATATAAATAAATAATAGTATTTAAAAGAAAAATTCTTATAAAAAATTTACTATTTAATTGAAAAACTCAAAATCACTATTTTCGATAATGGTTTCAATAGCTTTTATACGAGACTATTATTCAAAGCCTAGGACAAATATTAGTAAATATTCAAAAATTATCTAGACCATTTATTTTTAATTTTATACCAACCTAAGATCATCTAAAAAGAAGGCATCCTATTTAACTCCATAATGTATCTATGAATAAGGAAGACCTAGGTCCTAGACACTGAATTAGAAAATGCTGACACTTAAACGAACCTTTCTACGAAACCTTCTACCTCATCGTCCTCATCAGTTTCTTTTTCTCAAACTTTAGAAGAGCACTGCATTCCTCCAGTTAAGCTTCAACGACAACGACAACGACAACTCAGATTATATAGCTCTATCCAATAAAACCAACTTAATGACGGTGAAAATAAATCTATCGACAAAGCTTTAATAAAAATTATTATTGCTGACTACCAGTCTTTATTAATTGTAGAAAACATTAGTTTTATAGAGTATACCAAGATAATACAGCCATTTTATTTCCCTTCCAAGTAGGAAATTACTTAAGACTAAATTATTACCCGATCAGCAGGGACGAATCCAGAGTTGGGGAACTGTGGGTCAAGCCATTTCAAGA